GACACGAGAAGCAGTTGTAGTTCTCAGTTTTCTTTATTCTGTGTACAGCTCACAAGTAGATGGCTTCAGCAGCTCCCAAAACCTCCCAGCTTCTTATATAGACATTTCCCGGGTAAATGCGATACTTTTCCCGCACCAGCACCCGCGCATGCGCACGGCGCTGGCGACAGCCTGTCTGGTCCCGGGCAGCTTTGCACCTGCCCGGGACTGCCTGCAAACGCCCCGAGCCATTTGCAAGGCTCGGGACATAACACCCCCTATAACAACTGTGCTACACATGTTAATATATTAGGGTTAAGATTTCCTTTAATAGCACCCAGATGTCCACTTTTAGAGCTTTAGCATGTATTTGATCATTTGGCTCAAATAAAACCTTTTTTTCAGTAAGAGAAGAGTGGAATGCTTTATGAAAATGAACATGTCACGATAATATGGGTTTCCGTTAAAATAATAAAGTGAGAAAACCCAACTGATAGGACAAACTATGGTCTGCCTGAACCTTAGTAAAGCAACAAGTAAAGTTTTTCAGGTTATAATTAAATCCCATGGTAATTTTGCAAATAAAGTTGAAGGACTGGAACAGCACTTGTTAGGCGAATCACATTAACAGCAGATATGAAGTCTAATAAATACAATAAACTAAATTATCACTAACCAATGATTTAGCTGAAAACAGTGTCACATTAATATACAGCTTTGGCAATATCCACAGGGATATAAATGGCACCATTTATCTACTCCTAAATTCTAAGGAAATGGACGCTATTATGAGAGACTTCTCAGAAAGTGCTTTGATTAATGTTTTATACTGAGCTTGATTTTAAAATGGCAATCCACCAATTTAAGACCAAATTAATTGCAATAGAGATATTTCTTAGCATTAAATCATAGGTAACAAAACCACAACACTATATTCTTCACATAAATGGAGTCAGTTATAAATGGATTGAATCTTTTTGTGAAATTCAACTGTTTTCAAACCCAAAATTATCTCCATCTTGTTTTGCATAAAACAAAATGCATCACACAAATTGACCACTCAACCAAAAAAAAAACCCCAACCTTTTTTTCTCTAAAAAAGTAAATAACACTCTCAAATTCCTATTTGGCCTCCTATAGACCAACCTTGTTATCACAACACCAGTTTTCCTCATCAGTTTTTAAGCATCATAGCTTCTCATTAGTCGGTAAATTGAAACTATTCAGGATCAGTTCAGACTGGAGCAATATTTTGTTTGTCTTGTAATACAAACAAAAAAACTCACCACTTTTCCTTTTACATCTGCTAACCAATTCAAACATCTGCTAACCAATTCAAGAGAATGTTCTGTCCAGCTAGTGCTAACAATTGCATAAAAAAAAAATTGTGCTTTTTTTTTTCCTTGTGCATTCTCTATTCACACTTGCAAGCTCATTTGGAAACACATGTCCAGCCAATGCAGAAACAACTGGATCACTTCCAGGGATACAGATAGTCCTTGCTTAACAATCACAACTGTGACTGGCAATTCCATTGCTAAGCAACCTAGTCATTAAGCAAGACATCACATGACTGTGACTTGCAGTTTTATTGCCAGCTTCTCCATTGACACTCCTGGTCAGAACCAGCTATGAAGTGTGCAAATGGTGATCACATGACTATGATATAAATTCCCACCAGTTTTGAAGTGTCCAGGTTTTAATGATGTGACTACAGGACACTGCAACAATCGTTAAGTGCAAGGACTGCTCATAAAGCTACTTTTTCAGCGCCATCGTAACATAGAATGTTAAACAGATTTGTTATTTTAAAGTGAACCATTAGCTCCAACAAACTCCATGGCCAAAGTAAATTATTTTTTAAAAATATGAACACCCATTGTGTACCCAACAGGTCAATTAATGTTTGGTAGATGAACTGAAGAAACAGTAGGGCAAAGGTGTGCCCAAGACATGCAAATATGTTTGAAAACAGCGGTCAGGTTTTGTGATACATGACATCTTGCAAATCACCGAACAGGTTTTGACCTAGGAAAAATTAGTGAATTCTTCACCAGAAGATACAACTCTCACTAGGAGAACAAAGCAAATACATTGCCATGGCTTATTGAAGCAATTAAGCTTTTAGAGCAGGGGTCCCCAACCCCCGGTCCGTGGATCGGCACCAGGCCACAGCATACCAGCAACCAGGCTGCGCAGACAAGTGAAGCCCCATCCACTGGATGCAGGCAACATACGAAACCACGCCCCCTCTGGTCCGCAGAAAAATCTTTCTCCACAGAACCAGGCCTTGATGCCCAAAAGGTTGGGGACCTCTGTTTTAGAGAGTATAAACAGGGGATTCCTATTGCAGAAAAAAAAAATCAACGAGACATTGGAGAAGGTGATTGCTAGTAAAGAAACAGTCTGAGACTCCTATTTATACACTAATTTTTCAAATTAAACATTATTTTATATGTGGGGTTTACATATTGCTCCAATCCAAGAAGACTCTGTGAGATTTCTGTTCCTCACTTTCAATACAAAGGCTTAAAGATACAACAGCAGCACAACAAAAGGAAACAACACTATAAAATAACAATAAAAGTCACCAAAGCAGCAGCTACAGCCTCCAAGAAGCAAATAGCTGTCTGCAGTCCAGAAGGAGAGCTTTCTACCATACACTAGATTCCGTGCAGGGCTTTTTAATCTGTTGGTGGCTAGGAATCCAGAAGCCATGGAGGCATTCAATGAAAATAATTAAAACTGCATTAGAAATTGGTGTATCGTTGTTGCCTGAAGAATTCAGTTCAAGAGATTTTGTTATATGGAGGCAGAAAGTTGAACAGGGAAGATGAGGGATTCCACCTTTAAGGTCATCTCAGGGAGAAACCTGGCTATTAAATTAGGACATAACTGCAAATATCCAGAGATCAATAGATGGCAGTGAAAATATACCCCAAAAAATGACTTTTTTTTTCAGCCGAAATGAAGGCTGGAGCAGATTTCTCCAACAAGGCAGGTGAGGGTATGTATGCCTCTGTTTTTCAAGGATGGATGTGCCTTTCCTTTTATACGTCAGCAAATTTTAATGTTTCCCATTTGAATGTGCCTTGCCTTCTCCTGCCTCCCAACAAGAAGTCAGAACGAATCAATACAGAGGGACTACACAACGTAACACACTGTTGGTATTCAGGAGGTATTTGCATTGGCCCATCTCCAGCCCTCTGCAACCTCTGTTTACCTATCAACTCCTTCACAGTATAGATATGCAGTGTTGGTGACAGGAAGTTGCAGGCAACTCTAAATCAGCCATAAGGCAACCTTAATTAATTAAATTAAATTAAATTAATTGTAGAAATAAAAAAAAAATTCTGAAGTAGGCACTGGCATGGTAAACGTGAGAAATCATGGTTAGTTTTTGATCAATTAACTTCTCCCCGAAAATATTCCAGGATTGGCTTATTGTTTTATCTAATATAGATTTTAAATTAATAAATGTACATGTTCTCAGCATAGCTGATAGTGTAATGGTCAGGCAGACGGTTGTGTACATCCACAGATTCCCCAAAATAATTTAATTTTCTCAGTGAAATATAATCAGAGCCACTAAACTGGAGAAATCTGTTGTTCAGTCTGCTTTGGCACTGATCTGCACTAATTAAATATATTATGAAGTGATTAATTCCTACAAACTTTTGATCAGAGACTCATAGCAAATGAGATGCTAAAATAGTGTTCATTTTCTAGGTCTAGTAAACATTTTAAAAATAGTTAAATATCAGTATTGGCTAATTCAAGCCCAGTGCAGTAACATTAGACTGCCAAGCCTCATTTACTAAATGAAAGTTACAATTCATATCTTTTTCTTCAGCATGAATCATTCTTACTGCTATTTTGCAGTGCAAATCTATATGTTTAATAAGATGAACACTCCATATAACTGAAAAAGAAATCAAAGAATAGACTTTTCTTCAATATGCTACTTTAACTTAAATACACATAGAAGTACTAGAAAGAATATATGTAATCGAGAGCCATGGAATAAAGTAGTTAAGTTCCCACTCTACTGTAATGATGGTGTATATTTAGTAAAATGTCCCAGGATAATCAAATATGGAACACTTTTTATTTTCTTGACACTTTGCACATTTATCCCAAAGTGAGTGCTATTGCGGATAACAATTTTCAACTGGTGTTTTCAGGACCTGCTTACTCAGTCTACATGGACTACACGTAGTGTCTTATTTTCAGAAAAGTAGCCCTATTATGGTGTGCCAACTGAACCTTACTTTTGCTTCAGCTCTAGCTTAGCAGATTAATACTGGTTCTAAACCTAAAAAAGGATGCCAGTCCTAGATTGTAAAAGCATTTCCTGATTATCTTTGAAGACGTTTCGCTTCTCATCCAAGAAGCTTCTTCATCTCTGACTGGATGGTGGGAAATGGAAGGATTTATACTCCTTGCAGACAGCTGGTCATTTACATCCTTTTAGCAAGTTGTTGAAGCCCCCTGGAGGCGTATCTGTGTCTTCAGGGTCACCTGAATAATGCAAATGGATGTGGAGCCTTCTTGGAACTGTTGAAAGGACTGTGTTAGAGACTGGAGATAAATGATGTCATATCCCTCCCACTCTGTTGAGAAAGGGCTGCAAATGTTGAGAGAGGGCTATTGAGAGCTTCTTGGATGAGAAGCGAAATGTCTTCAAAGAAAAACAAGAAAGCCTCGTGAAAAAAGCACCTTTGGAACAACCATAATTTGGATGATTGAGAATCTTCGTAGACATTTCCTGATTAGTTTCTAAATATTACATCCCTATAACCTTATTTGCCATGTTGCATAACACTTTGCTTGGAAATAAAACACAAGATACAGTATTAATTTGCCTAAGCAAACTAAGATTATTAGGCAAAATAGGCAAAACAGATTGGACAAAATAAGATGTCTTTAATTTGAACGAAAACATTTCTGCATTCTTCACTTAACAGACTGGTCTTCCCTGCTGAATTTTTTTACAAGGAATTTCCAAACCCAGAACATACCTCTAGCAGTTGCAATTTCCCCATCTGCATGAGCCATGCACTGCATGGCAGTGGCTGCAATGCATATTGGCATACTGATTTTCTCTCCCAAGACACAAGTTGACAGGTCCAAGGTTGACACATTTTTCAACATCCGGGGGTATAGTCTTAATCTGCATGGATGGAAAAGGTCTGATAGCAAATAATTCACAGCAAGGGTTTATTTAGAATACATGATTTGTGATGCAGACACAGTAAATTCCTGTCTCCAATATTAACCGAAAGCAAGTTTGGTTTTTAAAATGACTCATCAAATGCTGAAATCTGGAAATGACCAAGCCACTGACATCAGCTTTTGTTAGTTACACATGGCCGGAAATGGAGAGCAAATAAATAAAAAGCAGCATGATAAGTTGCCAAGTGTCAAAGAGTTTGAGCTAGAATTTCAATAAGCAAGTTCTAGTGCCAGGATGTACAGTTTGTGAAAGAGTAGTTATCAAATTGTAGTTTTTATGTCACCGGTTACATAATACATTACTGGAAAGTAATAGCATAATCTTTGATTTAAATGAAATCAAGTCTAGTTTTTCTTTTTTTTTTGAAGCATGGTTTTCCAGAGATTTGCAGGGGGAGCATGGTGAACAGAAGAAGTCTCTGTGAAAGCGGAAATCACAACAAAAACCAAATAACTGATGAGTAAACTGGTTCTTTGGAACCTCCCTGGACAAGGAGAGGAGGAGAGATTGCCCGCATGTCCTCTGAATGGCTGCTCCTTGCGAGGAGACCACAGGACAGTGGTCCTCCATGGATTTGAGCACTAGGAGACTAAAGGATTAACTATCTTGCTCATAACCATAGCAGATCCCTTTAAAGCAGTGGTTCTCAACCTTTTTAATGCCGCGACCCCCAACCGGTCGTAAGTCGAGGACTACTCAACTGGTGCAGCACCATTTGCAGAATGGGACTTTTGGCGGGCTCAGCAGGGCAGAGACAGCCTGGACAATTTCTATTGGCTTTTGAAAGCCAATAAAATTAGACTCTATTCAAGAGAGTCTATTCTATTGGCTTTCAAAAGCCAATAGAATAAAAGGGAGTAGCACAGCTATGGGGAAAAAAATGGCGGACTGCGTTGTTTGGTGACCCCCGTGAAATGGTCGTTCGACCCCAAATGGGGTCCCGACCCACAGGTTGAGAACCACTGCTTTAAAGGACACTGTGTGATGAAGAGATATCTATTTGTAAACTTACAGGGAGTGAAGAGTTACTACATTTGTTGTAATGAAGGTTGAAATCACTTTTTTACATATTTCTTTACTATAATCTTTTGTCTCCTTTTCTTTAAGTTTAGGTTGCATTAGTTTTTTACTATTGTAATCAAAATCCTTAATACAATTTATAATATAAATTTTTATAAATAATATAAAAAATACAAAGAAGAAGAAAAGGAGGAAGAGGAGGAAACATGTCTCTCCAGTATATATAGGATAAAGACAATCATATTGAAAAATGTTAAGTATTCAAGATAGCTGGTCTAATCCTGATACCAATCATAGCATCTATAAAATTATTTTGGTTTGCTTTAAAAGCATTATATTCTGACCCCCTAATGCTGGCTTCTCTCTGCACCCAAACTTTAAAGGTATAGTGGTTAACACCAAACTGCAAACTGGGAAGTCTAAGTCTGCCTTATGTGGGGGAAATTTAAAAATAAAAATATATATGCTTTTACTATTATCATGTAATCATATTTTATATTTTATAATTGTTATTGTATAATCAACTGCCTGAGTAGATGCTTTGAGTATATAGGGAACATACAAGCCTCAGGTGGAGGAAGGGGGGAGAACAGGAGTTACTGTGGGGCCCAGTGTGAGTCACCATCTAGGAACTGTTTTTAAGTACCTTTTGGTACCTGGTACCCCTACTGGATCTAACAGGTGTAGAAGATGGGAGACATCTCTCCTCTAGAATTGATATAGGATAGTAGGGGAGGGATCTTATTAGTATAATGTATTCTGTTTAGGTGCTTCTGGTAGATTGTAACCTCCAAAGCCTAAGCCAATGGGGCCATGGGGGAGGGAATGGGGCGTTGCGATGGGATGTATAATAATATGTGATTTTGGAATTTGGGGTGTGGTTCAGTGCTTGGCTACATTGCATTGCCTTCTTGAATCCACCATGCTTTGCAAACCGTTATTTTTTTTAGACTTGGATGTGAAGTCTAATACATTTCCTTTCTATTTGTAACTCAGAGTGGATTTCAATTTGTGACTATTTTTGTGTCTAACACTTAGGCATGAAGTCTGCAGAGTGGTCTTAGGCCAGTCTCAGTCCTAGAAGAAAGATATAAAGATCTTCTAAAATTTTGCCAAGTAAACTGCAAGGACTTATTCAAGAGATTACCAGGAGTCAACACTGACTTCAACCCACATATACATAGAAATATTGGAAGTGCAATACATCAAAGCCCCAGAATTTAATTAATTTACCTTTAGCATCAACCCATCACTAATGTCATTGTTTCCCAATCATTCTAATTAACAGAAAAAAACATCTGTTTAACCTAATAATTCTTTATCATATGCTTTCAGCACCCATCATCACCACTACCATCTCCCACATTTTAACAAATCTCGGTAGCTTTCAGCTCCAGGAAGCAACAATATTGCTTACTATGATTAATGTTGTTAAACAAGCTGTTTTGAGGGCCTCCTTTTTGTCAGTGAAGAACATCCTATTTTCTAAAGACCTTTAGAAAGTCAAAAATACAATCTATCAGAACTCATTATCTGATCATTTTCGCTCACTCCCAATTTAACATGCTGAAATAAGATGTTTTAAATTGATTTTCTTGTATGTCAAAATGCCATCAGCACCATGACCTCATTAAAAAAAAAATCAATTTTCAAATAGTGAAGCTGGCTGAAAGAAACTTGGAATCTATTAAAAATAGAAGATGGCATCTTTTTTTAGTTCCCCCCAAACTACTTTGGACTTTAAAAGACCCTGATAATCGCAAATTACTTGTTTAGGAGACTTCAAAACATTATATTATTAAGCTTTAAAAAAAATACTTGCATTGAGCAAACTCCCATGTGTGTTGTTTTTGTTGTTAAAGATAATATGCAGTTGTAAGAAGTTGTTTATTGCAGTTTGACTAAGACACTTGATTTTCAAAATCTACACAAGCTTTTCTCTGCATTATTAAGGGGTTCATTTATTTTATTCTAATACTTCCTCCCTCCCTATTAACATTTTTTAGAATTTCTGTAGACATTGCTTGGTTGTAAAAAGCACAGAAATAATAATCCAGTAATACCCTGCTTTTAATCTTTCTGTCTGAATTGAAAGATAAATATAAGTCAGTTTTATCTCTATAATATGCTCCCAGCTGCATCTTCCATAATTTTTTTTCTTGAACTTGAATGGAAAAATATAAAATATACTGTCAACAACAGAATGAGACACCATTCCAAAATTCAAGATCATAACCTGTTGATGTGCCCAAATCTGCCCATCACAGTAAGGTCTTGTTATATGGAAACATTAAGAAATTTTGTGTCTCAGTGACTAAATTTAAGTTGTATGAATAGAACAGAACAAAACAGAACAGAATAGAATAGACAGACTTGGAAGGGACTTTGGAGATCTTCTAGTCTGACCCCCCTCTCAAGTAGGAGACTTTGTACCATTCCAATCTCTTCTTAAAATGGCTGTCCAATATTGCCCACAAAGTGAGACCACACTTCCCAAAGTAATTTTGCTCCTTTGTGGAATAGCTCTTACTGTTAAAACTTTTTTTCCTCATGTCCAAGTGAAATCTGCTTACTTTCTGCCTGTTCTTTCTTGTCTTCTCTTGTGGAACCAATCTCCTTAGTTATTACACCCACCTTCCATTTCCTATATATCTTTCTTTTAACTCTTAGGTTAATCAAAAGCTCCTAGGGCAGTGATGGCAAACCTTTTAGAGACCGAGTGCCCAAAAACTGGCCCCGCCCCTGCTCTGCCCCCACCCTGCCCCCACCCCGCCTGCCTGCAGGGCCACTCACCGTCTCCAGGGCCCACCGCAGATCGCCCAGCAGCGCCACGGCAGCCACGCCCTCTGCCCATGCCCTGCAGCATCAACTGTGCACAATGGGGCATGAGGGCAGAGTCTTGTCTACGCTGTCTGGCTGCCATGTCCTTGGCTGCACTGCTCCGTGTGGACCATGCTCGGGGGTGACTCTCCAGGGGGCTGCTGGTGAGGAGGGGGTTGTGGGGGAGGCAAGGCTGGGGCAACAGCACATGTGCCCACAGAGAGAGCTCCGATTGCCGCCTCTGGCACCCCTGCCATAGGTTCGCCACCAGTGTCCTAGGGTATAGAGAGTTCTTTCTTTCTCACTGGTACAGATTGTGATTGTATTTCTAGAGTCTTATTTTTCAGAAATCCCCAATCCCCAAACTCTTTTTGACCTGAGGATTTCTTCTGAGACCCTGCCTAACATTCCTCCAGTCCAAGTTAGCTGTTTTGAAATCTAATGTACATATAGAAGTATCCTAATTTATTTTTCTGTAGAATCCTGAACTTCAAGATAATGGGGTTACTTTGTCCTAAAGTTCCCACTACTCAGCCAGCTTCCCTTTGTTGGTTAGAATCCAATGTAGGAGGGTCCATCCATTGTGCATTTCACTTCTTCATGGACAATACAAAAGTGGTTTGTCCTTGCTTTTTTCTAGGATTTGATTGACCAGTCTGGTGTACAGTTCTTGAATTTAAAGAATGAGAGCATCTTTCCCTAAAGTTTTGCTTTAACTAATATTGATCAAGGTTAGCCTACTTTGAAAAAATGATAAAGGCAATTAAAATATATGTTGAACAAGAGAGGATTTTTTTTTGCTTAGTGGACATGTAAAAAAAACTAAAAAAAAATGTATTCAAATATGTACATTAACTCAGAAAATTTTAAACATTAATATACAGCTGAAGCCAGAGATGTTTCTTTTGAGATTAACAAAAAGTTGGGGAAAAATTGTTATATATGAAAATAGTAGCAAAACTTTTATATACACAATAGTGAAAAGATCTGACATTACCCACAGTAGAAAAGTAGATGAAAATGATGAGCTTGTTGAGACGGCTAAATTGAAAGCCTTGATTAGAGAAAAGGCAACTGATTAATTCTGATCAGAAAACCTTTTGGACTTTTGACATGAAACTGAAAAAAAAATGAAATTATGATATGTGGGTTTGATGATCAGAAAAAATAATAGATAGAAAAAAATTATAACCATGGAGTAAGAGGTCAATTTAAATTTATAATTGCTGGAAAAGAAAATCAGAACTCATTTCTTTATATTTCTTTCCCTCTTTTCTATACTTTTGGCTTCATTCTTTACTTTTTCTCTTTTTCTCATCTTATTAGTATTCGTTAGTTTTTATCTTTCATGCTTAACATGTAATAAAGTTATCATAAAAATGATTAAACTGAAAAAGTTATTGAAAATCAAATTATTTTTGCCCAGTTACAGATGAATTGCAAGTTTTGTCTTTGACCCTTTTTAAGACTTTTCAAGAAGCAAAACTAATGATTGACATGCACAATTTCAATAGAGAATAAAGAAAAGCTCTCGTATTCTGTATTCAGCTTATTTTATTCAAGACAAAATTAATGTTATAAAACTGTTTAATTACATATATAATTATGCTCAGCATTTTTACTTTTATTAAGCATAAATAATTATAAATACATATAAATGGACATAGAAGCAACATGCATTAAGTATGCCAATAACCTATTTTATTTGTGTTAGCTCACTTAGCATCTCAATCATACTATTTTAGGAAATGCAAGGTGCTATTATTTTGGCCCACTTATTCCTTCTTAGAACTTTCAACTAAATGGCCAAGAAATGCCATCCCAGTACAGCTCTGATATATATTTTGGGCACTGCTTTAAGAAAGTACTATCAGTTAAACTGATATGAGCACTATAACTCTCCCAATTTCAACCTAATCACTGAAATGAGAATGAAAGTAAATAATAACCTGGAATTCTGTGTCTTTATCTAAGAATTTGTACAGAACTACTTAACTACCAGTAATTTTCTGAATACCGAACTGAAATAGGAACTGAATTTTCTAATGGAGCACTAACAATTGTGGACAGGAATTGTTACCATGAGTCAGAAGAGACCTCTTTGGAAGAGGTATTTCAGAAGGCACTGCCATCTACACATGACCTGAAAAGAGTCAAGATTACGGAGGAGAGTTTCAACAAATTTATTTTGGATCTAACCCAGAGCAAAAATGTATACTCTTGCCATCTTTGTGACCACCAGATCTACATCTGCAGATCCAGCATTGCAACATTTGCCTTCAGATTACAGCTAATTAGAAGCAAAATTCTTAATAACCCTCAGATGGTATATCTTGGTACTCAGCTGCTTTGAAACTCATTGAACTTGGTACTCAATGCATCTTGATGCAAAACTGTTGTCCTGGTACTCGACACACAACCTAGAACATGACGATGTCAGCTGCCTTGTGACTCACTACATTATTCCTTAAGGGGAAAAAATTGTTTGGTACTCATTTTGGCACTCATCGCACCTCCCGGAATCAATTAACGATGAGTACTGAGGTAGCACTGTGTATCTTTTTTCTACATGCATGTTGACATTCTAAAAACTCCAGAAACTATATAAAGGTGGGATTTAGCTTGCAAAAGTGATTGATTCTTTATCAAGTCCATCCTTGAGGGTGAAGGTTCATTCTACGAGCTTGTGAGTTGGTTTCCAAACATTTCGTTACCAGGCTAGGTAACATCTTCAGTGGAGTTTAGGGGATGTCTGTGTCAGCGTTCTTCTGTTTATAAGGACAGTAGATCTTGTGATGGGTGGGCAGTGTGGGCAGTAGGTCTTGTGATGGGTCAGGTGTGGGTGTGTCAAATGAGGGTCTTCTAATGGGTCTTATGATGTGAGTCAGGTGTGAGTCCTCAGCGAATCTTGTGATGGGTCTGTGATGGGGAGGTTACATCAGGTGAGGGTCATTGGGAGATGCTGGTTGGGGGGGTTGCGTGGGTTGGTTGAGGATGAGTGCTGTCTCTGCTTGACTGTGAAGTTGATTTGGATTCTGAAGGGTTCATAGGTTGGTTGTAGGTCAATGTGTCTGTTGATGGAATTGTTTGTGGCGTGCGAGGCTTCGATGAACTCACAAGTGTGACGGGTGACAGCGTGGCCGATTTTTGTGATGCTCCAATCGAACTGATACTGCTTGAAACACCCACAGCTGACTCATCACAGAAACTACTGCCCACACAAAGCCCTTATAAACAGAACACTGACACCGACATCCCTTAAACTCCACTGAAGATGTTACCTAGCCTGGTAATGAAACATGCGGAAACAAACCCACAAGCTTGGAGAACAAATCTTCACTGTCATCCTACACCTGAGATACAGATATTCGCCACTATTGCAAGTCCATCCTTCTGCATCTGGCTGAGCAATTTGTAGTTGAAAGGGTATGAGAGCCTTGATGCTTTTTGTGACTCTTGACTTTATCTAAACATGATAGCTGAGTAACAATAGTTTGGAAATGAAAAAAATGTGACATTTGGCTAAATTAGGCATTACAATAAATAAAACATTTCCCACTAGCCCAGGATCATGCACATATTGCACGACTTTACCCACATTCATATTCTCCTTGGTCATCCTTGTTTTACCAATAATTTTCCATTATACTTACCTGTTTTATCAAGAACACAAGTAAAAATATTGTATAATTTCTCAGTCCCCCACCAACTGAAAAAAATGCCACTTTCCAATCCTCTAATACAACGACTCCCAACCTTTTCCATACTCCACACCCCTAGAACACTTGATATATTCTCGCACCCCTTACAAATATTCGAAATAATGGCAATGAATTATGCATATACACTATAATTTTAAAAACCCAAGTTTTCGCATCCCTTGGAAAAGTGTCTCGTCACCCCAGGGGGTGAGAGCACCCCAGGTTGGGAACCCCTGCTCTAATACAACAACAAATCTAAAATATTTTTCCCTAAATTAGTAATTGAACATTTGATATAAGGATTGGGTAGTTATCAGAGATTTATGATTACCTGATGTTCATATTATGAAGTATTTTTGCTAAACAAGCACTTGAACACACATTATTTTGTTAGATATAACAGCAATGTGTTAGTCATAGGGCTGCTTTCTGAGCACAATGTAATTTTTTTACCCCGAGATCAAAGACTCTTCCAATTCCAGGGTAATGACTTGCAAAACTGTAATATTTCATATGAAAATTGAATTCTGTTTCATGATATCCCTTGATATCCAGAGTTGAAAGATGAATGCTCAAATTATACATGACCAATTTACTTTTAGTATAATCTATTCCCATCGTGAATGTACTTCAAGTACTGTACTTTCATTTCTACTTTAATTAAATTACAACCTATTAAATACAAATATGAATTGTTAATTACCTTGAAAATGCAGCTACATTTTCAGCTAAGGTTTGCTGATCATCAGCCCCAGACTTATAGTAATCGTACACAGACTTTTGAAGAAATTTCTTAGCAAACTTTTCAAAATCAGCAATGCAAATTGGTCTTTCAGACATGATGTAGATCACTCTGTTTTGTCTTTAAATCATTTAGTTCTGCTAGTTTTCAACTTGTTAATCATTAAACAAAAGCAAAGTTCAGAACACTCTTTTTAAGCAACCCAAATAATAAATTTCCAGATTATTCTTTTGGACTTTGACATTCACTAAATTAAGATGTCCCTATGGTGTACCAGAGAAGGAAATACAGAACGAAGTAATATATCTATATAGTGAATATTCAATAGTGGCATAATCCACTCTAGACAAATTACAACAGCCCACTCCAATCTCTTCCCCTCTTTTTACTCCTGTATTTGTTGTATTTTTTCTTTTTGTCAAAGCATTTTTCCTTCGCTTTCCCAACGATACCATCACTATTGTTTCTGTTTTGCTCTTTTTAATTAAAAAAGGAATACAAATAAATAAAAAGAGCAAATCCAATCTGCATCAAAAGAGTTAGCAATGATTGTTGGAGGTGACCATAGCTAGGCCCTTTAAGGTGACCTAGATACAACATTTTTCCAGCCCAGAAAAAAACAGTAACTATGGCACTCAATCAAATGATTAGAGGTGCTCCAGATTAGAGTTGGGGATACTGTCGATCAGCTAGTGGACAGCAATGGTGGCAACACAGAGAACCTTAAATTCAGAGATTTATGCTTCTGGTTGCCATGGGTGAGTGCCAAGGAGCAAAACTGGCCCAGTAGCAGAGCTGGAGATTGGCTTCTGCCCTGCACCTGCCATGGAGTCTGTCACTCTGAGCAGAAGCCATTTTGTCTTTTACAAATGGTATTGACTGCAAAAGAAATGTATCCATTCGTGCCACCTTTTGGCAGCATGTGCCCAAGGACTCTTCTGCACAGCACTGAATGAGAAATGAAAGGATTTTCAATCAGTATTTGGAGCCAACTGATGAGATCACCTAGATTTCCTCTGGATGTTACTGTATGTGGAGGAGGGACTGTAATTTCTGGGTTGATCCAGCCAGTGGTGAGCACCTATTTTGCCCCTCATAACCCCATATGAGAGTGGGAGAGGGGGTTTGGGAGTGTGGTGTGGATGTGTGATGGGAATGCAGCTGACTGGCAGATCACTGCATGCTACATCAGAAGCAATTCACAGGAACTGGCTAACCAGAGAGGGAGAAAGATTGTTAATTTAGGATTGGATGGAGGCCTTTATCAATGGGATGGATGGTACAGGTCAGGGAGACTTGGCCTTTTGGGAAGAGAAGGAGCAGACAACAGTATCTTGGACAAGAGATATGGCAGGGCTAGCTGGTCCTGGGGAAGACGATTTCAGTGTCTCCAGTTGATTCAAGGCTATTTCCTTATGTCTGGTTATCAGACCTTGGCTTCCAACTACTGCTATTGAATGCCAGGTTGACCAATAATTAAACTTCTCTTGTTCGTGACTTGGCATATATAACAGAAATTAGGTTGGGTGTCCCTATTAAATCAGTCAGTCATGAGGGCTGAATGGACCCTACTTGGTTCCAAAGGAAATTGGGGATTAATCCTGAGAGTCTAGTACATGGTGATTAAGGCCTCGATCAATGCCCGGAATGAGCAGGTGACAATGGCTTTGAACTGGAACATTCCTGTGCGACCTCTCCTTGATCCTTCTAAGCCCCCCCCCCCCCGGCTTTCAGAGGATATCTGAGAACTGAAGCAACAGTTGAGATAAAGCAGGGCTTTTTAACCAGTGGTACGGGTACCACCTATGGTATATTGGCACCTGGCACCTGGTACACGAGCATCCTAGAAAAGTGGTAGCGGGGGAGGGGAATGAGCTGAACAGGTGACAGCACCACACAAGCCTGAGTGAGAGATGGCTGGAGCTGCAGGGCTGTCAGGGCTCAGTGGAAGCACCAGGATCAGCGCCAGGCTTCAGCTGGAGCTCGGCGCTGATCCTGGCGCTTCTGTTGAGCCCAGAAGCGCTGATCAGCTGGAATGTTGCAGCATCCCCGGAGTCTTGTGATTTACATTCAGATGCTTGGCAACTGATTCATATTTATGACGGTCACTGTGTCCCAGGGTCATGTGAAGTGACCAAAACCTGCTGCAGCCACCCAGCAGACGGGAATAAAAACCCAACACCCCCTCACCCCACCCCCGCTGCCAATCCTCAACAGAAATGCTCACAACAATGGAAACCTCAGACAGGAGGAAGAGCGCCACCGAGTGGGCAGGCAGTTGTCTTGCTCGGCTGTGCCTTGGGGGGGCACTTTGAACAGTCACTAAGCAAAATGTTGTAAGTCAAGGACTACCAGTACTTTATCACTTTTTTCCTTTTTTTTTTTTGGGTCATCAAGTTTTTGACACCTTGCTAGGCAACTGGTGGTACTCGGATATTGCCATATCCTAAAAGTGGTACAATGGGTGAAAAGGTTGAAAAGCCCTGAGATAGAGTACTGGGGAGGAAGATGAGGAGTGAATGTGATTATGAATTCTAAACACCTTAAATAAACAAACATCAAGTGAACACAGAAATATATAATCAAGTTTATAGTTAATAAAGCAGCATTTTAACGTAAATGTTTTACATAAAAATCATGTCAAACTAAACCAAAAACTGAGCAAGTGTTCGTTTAAAGTAACAATTTTGAAACACGAATGGCAATTTTGCTTTTTAAAATTTAATGTAAAATAGTGACATCTGAGCAAAGTAGTTTACTTGCCAAATATTAACTCTTTTAAGAGTCTTAAAATGAATTAGTTTACTTGCTGCTTTTGAAAGATAAGCATCTATACATTCAAATTTATGGATGAGTAGAGGCTATAGTGACTACTGTTTCAAATCATTTCACTTTTTTCTGTGTTAAAAAAAACCCTCAAATTTAATAAATTCCTTGGGAATGCTTTGTAGTCATCTTTGTTATAAGCCAGCTTAAACGTGGTTTGTATATCCATGTAGATATCAAGACATCAACTCTCTAACCAAGAATGAACTGAAATCTTATGAACTAAGGTCTTAGTACTTTTACTTTGTAAAAAAAATTGAAAGACAATAAGGAAGACTGTCAAAATAAGGAAGACTGTCATACTGAGTCCAGAGTATTTAACTCTCAATTCTTTTTACTTAAAAATAAACCGTACTGAATTTAGTTCCAGGGACACATGTTTAGGACACAACAATTGTGGACCAGTTTCTCAAACCAACACTGAACCCAAATCTTTTATGTCATGGGTGTCAAACTCGATCGCGTCACATGACATATCCTGACATATTGTGACGGTTTTTGCCTTTGATGCATCCGGCCCACAGGCTGCCAGTTTGACACCCCTGTTTTACATTATCACATTACTAAGGTTTCAGAGGTTTAAGAATCAAATCAAATAACTGGCTAGCAACTTATCTTTTTGATGCTTTTAACAGCATGACAAAAATGCTGGTAAATGCAGATGCTGAACTGTCAGTTTAACTGTGCTACATTAAGATTCTCAAGCATGTATTTTTTTTTATAAGTATTACCACAGCAGATTAGGTATGTACACTTAAATATTTATTTGCTTCTAAATGCTTCTTCCCCCCAAGCACTTAAAATCTATTTGTCCTGTAATATTAACAAAGTGCAATGGATAGTTTTACTAAAACTTGTTTAAAAAGGTCTTTTACTAAGCAAATTATATAGATGTTAGGAGTCATTTTAGTGCAATAAAAAATTAATGTTCTAATCAACAGAGGACACAACTGACAAATATTATGACAGCATGCGCATAAAGCAAATATAGTGCTTTATTTTTACTGCTTTCGTCTGAGCCTATCATTTCTTAGGCTTAAAATATTTCTCAACTTGAAAGTTGAATAGCATGTTCAGCAATGATCCTGACATTCATTTTAATTCTCCAGATACCATTGAAAATAATTGTCTCTAAAACAAAGGGAAATAACACTGTTCTGAGTTGCTTCTTTTATAAACCTATTTCATCATAACACATTCAACACTTGCATAACCTTACAAGGGAATACTGATACTTATATTATCACTTTACATATTTACATTACATAGAACTTTGACAACTATGGGACTGAATAAATACTCCAATTATTGAGGACAAATTAACAGGCAATTTATGCATCCAGACTTTCTGTTTACATTAAGAAATTTGCAATGACATTTTTTCAGTCTTCTCCTGCATTGTCGAATGAATTGGAATACATAAAGGAACTAACGTTATATCAAAGCAGTGTTGATCCAAAGAAACCTAAATATGGCCAACAAATCAGATACCGTGATATTTACCTAACAGATTAATATTGGGACAATGGATATGAAACTGAGTGTTGTAAGAAAGCCACATCCATGCTTAAAAATCTCTTCCTAGCTTTCAAGAAAGTATGCTGAAAGTAAAACTTTGCAGCTTGTAAACTATATTGTAAACATAGCTCTTGTTATACTATGATCTCCCCTGAAATACACAACATATCACAGCTCTGAAGCCTGTAGGAAGTGCCTTAGGTAATTGGAGCCAAAGACCTCTGAAAGCTATAAACTGAGTTATCTGTTCAAGCATATCAAACAGTAAAACCTTATTACTGTCTTAAGCTGCCGTCAGTCCTCTGGATTTTTGTCTTCAATTATACATTTTGGAATTAACTTGTACCAGCAAGCCCCCAAAAATCTTTTCTTGCAACACTGACAATTTGCAGTTGTATAGAACGACCACTTCATACAGTTTATGGTATGGCTGATGCAATAAAACTTCTTACCTATTCTTGAACTCAACATGGTTGTTTGATTGTCATGTCTCTGATTTCAACATTGCTCATATTTTTACATTCAAAATATTGACCCTAAAAATAAAAACAGTTGCTTTCTAGCAGTCAGCCCAGATTTAGCTGCAATAGCTTGTAAGTCAAATATTTGGCTTCAGCTGCCATCTTCTTTGGTCCACTTAAAAGTATACATTCTGTTACTTTCACTATAGTTCAGGGTCCATCTGATTTTTACGTTGTCTTAAGGATGTCTCCTCTAACTTGTCAGACTCAAAAGGCTCTAAATCATTTTCTCCCTCACATCCTTCAACTGCTGAATCATCTGAGGAATTTGGCTGAGACTCATCTTCTCCCTCTTCTTCATCTTCACTGTCAACAGACAAACCCTTTTCTGGAATTTTGTCCCCCGCTGAAAGCTCCAACGTTTGCTGTTGTTCTTCTATTTTATTCTCATCAGGATCTACGGAATCTGATGTAAAAGAATTGAGGAAAGAAGAGCTAGTATTTTTTTGTACATATGGAATATTTTGTTAAGCTACAAAGTGCCAGTTTTCAGATCTAGCCCTTGTGATTCATTTCCCTAAACCTCTTACCTCTGTGTTGAACTTCTTACAGACTATAATGTCTGGATATATACAAGTTAGGCCAAAACAAATTCATTACGATTCAGCATGGTGTCTGAACCCAGTGATTAGGTTTATTTATCAGAGTTGAAATTAAGGGAATACTCAAAATAGGCCATTATTCACAGCGGCATATTTCCATACTATCTGAAAATGTGTTCTACTTCCATGTAGAGTGCATTGGACTATTGCAAAGTGCTTTGTATGGGGTTGCCCCTGTTGGTAAGCTGCAGGTGGTCCAGAATGTAGTAACATGGGCACTAGTTGGTGCATCTTGGTGTGCCCATGCAACACCACTGCTGCATGAGCGGCCTTGGTCCTTAGCAACTAGTAGGCTTCCAGATGCAATTCAAGGTACTGGTTGTCACCTTAAAGCCCTACGTTGCATGAGGCCAGATTACTTGTGGTACCGCTTATTCCCAATGGTTTCCACTCTCCTACTAAACTGACAAGCTGGGCATGCTCCAGGTCCCCTCAGTAAAAATGTTGCCGGGTGGGGGTCTTGGAAGCATGTCTTCTCTGTCATGGTGCCTGTCTTATGGAACAGCCTCCTATTGGAGACATAGATGGCCCTGGCCCAGTTGGCTTGCAGGAAAACAGTGAAGACCCGGCTTTACCTGTGCCAAGACGTTGATGGACCTGGCAATGTGTGATTAGTAGATGAATGCAAATGTTATCAGGACCTCAGTGTAGCTTATTGCTTGTTTTAAAGGGGCTCTTTTACTGTACTATATTTTTTTTTCTGTTTGCTGTCAAGTTCTTTCTAGGAAACTATATATTTGTTTAAACAAGCAAACATTGTAAGCACTAGCATTACCCTTCATTATACTGTATGTACATACCAAAACTTTCTTCTTTGGACTTAGCTGGACACAAGCAGTCCATAAGCAAAACAAGTATCTGAAGGAAAGAAAGAAAAAAGTACAAAACTAACCTAGGGAATTTCAAATAGCCCAACATTACTGAAGTTTGAGTGGTTTGTAATTATGGTGCACTTCAATGCAAAATATCCATGTTTTTTTTTTTACCAATGAAGGTCATGAGCTATGCTAAAGAAGGCCATAGATCAAAACCCTCTCTAAATGCTTTTTTTTTTAAACAATCTCTAATTTCTAAATCAAATAAACCAGGACGTTTCAGAATCCTTAACCAGGTTCTGATCTATTGCTCTCTCTAGCAATATATAGAAGTTCTAGACTATAATTTTTCTAGTGATATTTCTGCTTTGTGTTTTAATTGGTGGTGTCTAACTACAGCAACAAAATACACCAGTGATTATATAATACAAAAGAAGCTACATATACTGTAATGATCAAAAGAAAACAAATTTAAAAGGTAAAACTAATACAAAAACATATTTGATATCAATACAGGTTAATCTAAACCTCAATTTCTGCTTATACTTAAACCATAGAAACATGCTGCTCCATCTTTTCACTTTTAGAACATAAGGACATTTCAAAAATAGATTAAATAATTTATAATAAATCTATTCCTTGCTATCAGGAAGATAAAGTTTCCTTCAGTTTATATAAGATTATCCTCTTTGCTATATCTCAAGTTTAATGTGCCAAAATTCATCATAAAATTAAAATTAAAGATTAAACATTACATCTTTGACAGCAATGTTTCTTTTCAAAAATTTATTAACATATGCGATACTAATTTCTCTTGAGCATTATAATTCAAGATAGCACAAACCAGGATCACTTAGATGATAAAAAGTAAACCACAAGAGAACATTGATCAATAGTATGAAACACAGTTGTCTACCATTCTCTTGAGATCAAGAGCACCGGAAAAAATAGAGGTTCTTGATTACTATTTTCTCTGACACCATAGAAAGATTTGATCTACCATTAATTTTTTCCCCACAATTCTCCAATTCAGTAGGAATACCAATGTCTTCTTGATCTACAATCAACTCCTGAGATGATACCATTTGCTGTTGTTATCAATACATTATTATTATTCCCATTTTTGTACATTCTGATTTAAGAGTATAAAAACTGTTTTCTTACCAAAGCCAAGATAAGACCAATCAGAAGGGTGGCTAATATGAAGATGGCATAAGAAACCCAAATATGAATTCCAAGAGTGCCAGTAAAATAATTGTGGATTTGCTGCAACAGAAACATAACTTGAATTGAAACTGCCATTATCTATCAGTTATTGTTTGGAATGATATTTGAGCAATATATCTTCAAATCCTCATACATTCTCAAAATGTAATTACAGAAGCATACAGTTTTGTTCCATTTTTACTTTAAGAGGTTTGAATCAATTTCACATAAATCATTTGCAAAATCAATATCTTTCATAAAACTATCACTGGCTATTTCTTCTGTGGGTATTAGGTAGTGACAGCTGGGATGTGTACTTATGCTCAGATTTAAGGTGTTTTGTTTTTTACTACAGATTACTATGTTTTTCCATTTTTTAAACATTAATTTTCAGATGAGGTATGCCCCAGAGGTTTTAAGTTACCAACAAATGTTGATGGAACTAATTCCATTTATTGAACAAAATATTTTTATGTCTACTCTAATTGCTCACAAGACACAGTTCACACTCATCAATATAGAATGATATTATTTTGATTTTAAAGCTTAGGTACTTACATAAAAACACAGGATCTGTACATACATAAAGCCAGTAGATATTGTGAGCCTAATCAGAGTAACTGAGAGTCTTGCTGTGCTGATTTATTGTTCTGTTTAACATTCCAACTGTTGGTTTCCCAAGGTTTATAAGTAGTATTAATATTAGAACTTTTATTTCTAAATACAACTAATACCATTGTCTAAATAAATACAGGTAAACAGCAACTGTGTATTTTCTTCTGTGTGTTTAAGACTCCCAATAATTTATTTAGCATCTTCTAAATGGAAATTTATGGATTATATACTTAATTTAAAAAACTGTTTATAAATCTTTATTGGAGTTGTTACCCATATGGCAGAATATGGAATGTTGATATGCAACCATGTTGAAATCTTGCATCCCATCATGAGATTTACAAAATTTCAATTATTTATCATAATTTGAACCAAGGTTTTAGAAGTAGAAACTTTTTCCATGGATAGGTTTGATCAGCATTAATATTGATATTCTATATTCTTTCCATACTGTATAAGCAACACAAGCTATATGATTATTGGGGAATATGACAGACCTTTTAAAAACACAGATCAAGTATAAAGTTGTTCTGCTTTATATAAGACACATATTGCTTACTTACCCTGATCCATCCAGATAAATGGAAGAGTCCTGCCATTCCATACATCCTAATAAGAATCAATATAAACATGATCACTAAAAAATAATTAAAGTTTGAAAAAGTGCGTTCCCATTTGTTCTAGGACTACTATTCTATTATTTCTCATGTTATTTGATCAAGAGACACAATAATTTAACCATGGAAATAAAAGGAAAGAGGTAGTGTTTCTCTAACCAACCTTTACAATAGTTACAGAATGTATTAGTAAAACCAAATTATCAAATTTTATCATACTGTTTCATGCCGATTTATACAGAAAATCTTTATCATAATGAATATACTTCACACAAGATCTAATAGAAATCTTCACTAAGCTGTACTCTACAGGTGCCCTCTAAATACTGCAACAACTTTACATATATTCCATATATTATCATCACAACCAATTATCACCTTCTGTGGTTTTTATTCCCTAAAAATATGGACCTACAGCTCAAAATTGAATGCAAAGTAATTACCTTCCTATAATCCTGAAAGCACTGGACAATTTCTACCAGTAGATGGTAGAGCTGAATGAAACATAGACTACCACAATAAGTCACCCTGAAAGTTAAAAAGTGCCAACAATATTCAACTGGGAATTGCTATTTTCAGCTAAGGCTGCATTTAACCTAGGATAAAATTCCAATCTGGGACATGATATTGCAATATAATTACATTAGAGATGAGGGAGACTTCCATCCTGCCACAGGTTCTACACTTTCCCATTTCCTCTCCAGGATATAACTCTCAAGATCCTCCAATGTCCTCGAGCCGCGATATCTGCGAAAAGCTCCATCCTTTGCACTGAAAACAGATTGAAGTATAGTTTTATGCTATTGAATCTAAAATCTTGTTACTCTCCAATATACAAGAGCAGCAAACGTGCAAATTAACAAGTTTTACACAGAACCAGATCCTTCTTATACTATTTTTTTCCACTTCCTTAAGGATATTATTCCACTTGGGGAATTGGAAGGCAGGGGTGAAAGGAGATGAAAATAAGCAAGAGAAGAAAGGAATAAAGGAGATGTATTCAGGGGAAAACAAGAAAAAGTTCCTTTTATTCTTATTACAATTCAATCATCTAATTACTTGTTTGGGGTAGCTATCGTAGCAAGTTTCTTCTGGGCCAAAAATCTAACTAGTATTTTCCAAAGGATATTGGAGTATATAAACCCAGGAACAGCCTTAATTTACTATGCTGCCCATTTTTTCTAATTAATCAAAGTAATCTGATTAATAAAACCCACAGGATCTGATTGCAGGGAGAGATATTGAAGCAACGCACAGTGAATTCCATTGTGGTTTGTTTATGACAAATTGCTAGTGCCTCACATTACTACCTTATTTTCCAGTCACAGCAGGCTCACATTATCCATATTAAGGACAGCAGGAAATTCCCTGTTTAGATCATAATTTTCTTCTGAAACTGAAACATCTTGCTTTCTACTGGGGGTAATCCTATCTAGTTTTCCATAAACACCATGTGTCCAATATGGCAACTATGGAAAACTTTCTCATCTCCTATTACTGTCTCTATTCATTTGACTCTTTAATTGCAAAAAATAAAAGTATCTGAACTTTTAAAAAATGGGAAGCTGGCATACTCCAAAACACTAATCTCTAGCATCATCTTCACTTCCTAGAATGCAGTTGGGTATTAAATGGCTTGTATAAACTTATAAAGCAGCATTCTGGTCACAATATATTTTGTAACTGCTTAGATCCACCAAAAGAATTATTCTACAAATAGGCAAGACCCCCACATTCCAACAACTATTTTTTTTTTACAATGCTTACAACATGTTTCCAATACTCCACTCATCAAAATAAAAAGATTGGGGCTCCCAAGATAACTTTTTTTGAAGTTTCCTCTGCTTTCCCAGATTGCAATGGACGATATAGATGGGCGATTTTTTCCTTAGCTTCCATCATATATTTTACTCTGCCACACACACAAAAGGAAACATTTTGAATTACAATTGTAAAACAACTATTTTCAGAGTAATTAAAATACAAACTTACTGGTAAATAGTGGGAAGAGTAGTGACTAAGAAACGGCCACTTACACCTGAGGAGAACAGATACTTGTTTTAAATAGTACTTATGATCTTGCTTCTTACACATAATCATCACCTAACAAAGACTTTATAATTAAGAGCTCATTTTCATATTCTACACGTTTTGTGAGAGTGCGCAACCTTCCATGGCTTCACATGAATAATAAGAACCCATTTGGTCTCTTTTAGATCCCCTTAACCACTACTGATACAAATGTGAATTATAACTAAAGGGGTCAGGCACTGAAGGAAAGCGAGAGAAAGAGAGAAGAGTCCCAAATACTGGCAGAAAAGAATTTGTCTTAGCACATTTCAGAAATATTCAAGGGCAATTTTAAAATATCCATGAGCAAATTTTGGCCAAGCACACAAGCTTTTAGCTCACAGATAGTCCAGAAGTATCTTGGGAAAAGAATACATTTTCTGACTTAAGTCATGCCAAATAAAAACTTTTTTTTTACTGGTACCGGTGATTCTTCCCTCTCAAAAATTGTTTTGAGACAGGTAATGCATAAATCAGCATAGACCCTACAATAGGGTTAATATGGTTTTTAAAATAAGTTCCAGTAAGGCCATGGCGAAGATGAAGATGTTCCTGAAGAAACAGGACATTACAGCTGAAATCCTTGGCCAGATATGGGACCCAAACTGGCAAAATCACTCTAGAGAAAGGAGAGCTCTTGAGATAGTCCACATGGACTCTACACAACTGCTCCTCGTGAGTAGATGGCAGGAACCAGTATTTTTGAGGTCTGCTTGTGAGCCGAGTGACTAGAGGTCGACGGATTACAACTACATTCATAGTTGTAATATAACCTTTAAGGACTCAAAGTTCAACCATTCCTTGTTTCTTAATCACTTTGGAATTGATTTTTAAATTCTTTTTTTTTTACATTACAAACCTCTGGAACAGCAAGTTTTTATGGACTTCACTGGGTGAGCTTCTTCTACTTATTACAAAAGACGTTATAAGTACATTTTAAGAGATTTTTTTTAAAAAAGAAATCGAGGCCATTCCGAAAATGGTGCTTGCTTCTGGGATGGAGCTACACAGTATAGGAATACTAAGGGGCAGAGCAGCCTGGCCCTCCTTTCCCAATGTGAGCTTGAGCTCTGCGTATCGACAAAAGGTGGGGAGGAGAGTGTGAGACATAGTGGGGTGGGAAGCAGGCCAAAAGCCCACAGGAACTCAAGGTTAACTCTCACTTAATGACCCTCACCCCTGATCTCCCGTTAAGCAGATCACAGGGTGCCTCAGGGAATGGGAGAGGCCTTGGGATGCCTGAGCCAGGCGTTCCTGGGCCTGCATTAGGCCTCCCAGGGCCTCACTCACCTGAAGCATCCCATGCTCCATTTAACGGGAGAGCAGTGATAGGGGTTGTTAAGTGAGGCAATATTGTGGATGCCTCACTTAATGACATCATGACTTGCGACCATAATGATCAGGTTCCATTACGGGGAGTCGATGACTATCTTACACAATAGTCCTAATTTCCAAAGCAGCTTTAGTCACTATGTCATCATCCAAATCCACTGGACTATATGCCTACAAAGCTGATTATCCCCAGTGAGCATGGGTGCTGACTGCACTGCTCTGGGATCATATCAGACATCTAGCAGAGGTTGGGGAAGATTAATCTAAATTTGGGCTAATAACATTAAGACTTAATATTCTGTTCCCATTTAAAAAAAAAGCAATTACTTACATTGATTTTTGTTCTTAGTGATTATTCATTACTTACCTGGTTCTTGAGTGACATCAACCTTGCCCACACTGAGTTCAAGTTCCTTGCTATTTCTTGCAAAAGTTTCCCACGCTAATTCCATTTGCTGACAGACAGGACACCACGGGGCATAGCTAAGGAAAGTGACAATACGATATAAGCATGAGCTGATTTCATTATCTGCTTAGGTGGTTTCCAATTTATCAAAAACAATTGACAACAGTTAACAGAAAAAAGAAAAGGGCAAAATATTTTGAATTCAAAATTGTCCAGAATCTTTTGCTTTGAATTCTAAACAGGCTGTTCTGACTATACCAGAACTTTTCTACGTATTTCTAAGGAATCTGAGCACAAAACATATCCTTTATGATCTTAGAATACTTTCAAGTTCAGAGAAAGTTGGAACAATAATTTCAAACTTACAAGATAGTTTCAACTCCTGATGTTTTTCATTTTAAGAATTCTGCAATGCAACCTGGATTTCATCTTTTTCTACCATAATACTGCATCAAAAAGAAGTGAGAACGCCAATACTACACTCCCACAATCATTCTGTTCTCCAAATTCACCCAACAGACATGCCAAGCAATGCTATTTTTTTTTCAACATTCAGTCAATGTCAAAAATCTAATTGGCTCAATCTCACAGATCATCGACACAGCAATGACTGAAGTAAAACCAATGAAACTTTTGTCCAACCTCTACAATATGCTAATACAGCACCTACACTGCTATAGGCCAAATTATATACAGGCAGTTCTCGACTTAAAACCACTATTGGGAACAAAACTTTTATTGCTAAGCTCATTGTGTCCATTAAAGGAATCTTGCTTCTTGGAACACCCCTCCCTCCCCAGGAAGATCATGAATGGTCATCATGTGACCTGTGGTTCTTTAACCATCATTAATTACATGCCATTTACAAAGAACCTGATTTTGGATCATGTGACCCCGGGGATGCTGTGATGGTCATAAGTGCAAGGACTGGTTATAACTTACTTTTTTCAATGCTGACTTCCAACAGTTGTTAAGTGAATGGTGTTAAGTCAAGAATTACCTGTAGGGCATGCAAAATGTTTCAACCTCAAAATAATTGTCTTGAATTGGAAACAAGCTATTTCAACCTTCCTAAAAGTGGTCTGACACCAATCCAACCAGTTTATAAACTTGGAGCATTTTAGGGTGGTCACAACATTTCTAACAAGACTAGTACAGCTGCTTTGAAATCTAACAGAATGTTTGAAGTTCAAAATATTTTGATGTAGCGGTACATCCTGGATCTTATAATTCATTTATTCAATAGTATATATGATCACAGTATTCATCAATGATCTTATATAGCTATTTGAAGGAGATACTCTTTCTAAAGGAGACGTTTGCAGGGTTAGGCATGCTGACTGAAAAACTCAGTGCACAACATGAGTAGTCCCAAGAGCACAGCTATGCTCTTTAACAGCAAAGTTCAAGCACAATTAAAAAACTGAACAACTCAATAGTATCACAGCATAATATCCTAATTAGTACAGCAAACGCTCTTAAAATTCTTACAAAAAATATAGTATTTAACACCAGCCAATCTCTTGCAGTCACCTTCTATAATGTAATCTTTCAGGAATGAAAACAAACTTTCTAGGCAGCAAACATTCTTAATATATTACTTCATTAACATTTATTCTGGCCAAGAAGGAACCAACCAAAGGGGAACATATGCTGCAGAAAATGCATGTTTACAGTTATTCTGCAAGAAATGTATTTGCAGGAAGGAGAACCACCTTCACAATCGATACAATGTTTCTTATGTAAGGATTTTATACTGTTGCATATCAAGTAAGGACATCATGCAATGTTCAGTCCTAAAACAAGTCATTTAGTGTATTCTGTTTCACAGAACATTCTGTGACAGAACATTTTTCAAAACCCTCCTGGAGATGTTTAACTGCTAATTTTCTGCTAAAACACATAGGACTTCCTAAATTATAAAGTATATAATCTAATTCTGACAGCTAGTTTTATGATATTTTAGCAGCATTTTCAAATCTCTAACTCACTTAATTTCCAATATGCTGCAGTTCCACAAAAAATGTTAAGGCCAGAAGCCATCAAAAGATTGCCTATTCATGATATATTATAGTGCATTCAATAGTTCTATATTTCATTTCACAAATCTATATCTCATTCATATGATATCCTGAACCAGGTCAGTGAAACCCTGCAGTAGTCTATGCATTTGTGTTAAGAGAAAAAAAAACAGACATAAACAAGCTTCATTGCGGGACAACTTAGGACAGTGTTTCTCAACCTTGACAATTTTAAGGCATGTGGACTTCAACTCCCAGAATTCCACAGCCAGCTGATTTAGGATTTCATCCATACCCGAAAGAAAGGGCTAAGCTAAGGTGAACATACTTTCTCTTTCAGGGGTATTTCTCTTTTGCTTTATATCCATGGTATTCAAATTGTGAACCAAAGCATCTCTTGGTTTCTTCATTTATTTAGCAATGGATCACCGGTCAGTTACACTGATCGGAATCTGACTGTTGTTTGAGGAGGGTGTCTTTTATATTATAGGTCTAAAATAAGAGCTATTCTTTTATATGCACATCTGACAAAGCATATAATTTGTGTACACAAATAAAAATAACTGTACCAAACATAAAAAAGGCTGACAGTTGCTACTTAATAATCTGTACATATTTTTCAAAATGAGTGTTCAGTATATGAGTGAGTGGGTAGGAAGCAAATTGTTTTCCTGCTTCTAAAAGAAGCTATGTCTCACTCAAGTTCATGGATCTAATATGGAAAATGCCCTTGGCTGTTATCTCATGACCATACATGTGCAGCCATTCTGTATTTTCCAAGGTAGTAGAACGGCTGTGAACGTACATGCTTGTAGATAGCTATGTATGTACTTGCCTTCTGAAGCACCCTTGTAAACCTGGAAATAAAACATGTCTGCTTTAATGATTAAAAAGGAAATGCTTTATGCGCACAGTCACTTTTCAAGCATCCCACAGAAAAAAGTTACCAAAAAAGCAACAGAAGTATTAGAATACTATATTTTGCTGTTTCCGAATTACACTGGTATGACATATTGAATCTAATTTGGGGCTGCCACAACAGCAATTCTTCATGTGCATTTGGTCACCATTATAATAGCTACTGTATTCATGGACTGTAAAGCTAATCACTTATCCTGAACTGCGTGTCTTCTTTTTCTTTCACCATGTCCTTCCCAAGAATATCTATGACAGTAGACATTCATGCAATACACTAAACAAATCACTAAATTAGTTTGTGAGTTCAGTTTGTTGTGCAAATTCAGTCATTGTCTTCAAACATTTTGAGAATTAGGCCATTACATTATGCCATAATATTGTTTGGGAACAGCCCTTTACATATCGACAGCAATTAATTAGCAGGATTTTTAGCATGTTGCAGCAGGTGTTGTTTAGCATTAAAGACCAAATACCATCTTGCAATGCAGTTGTATGTCTATGGAGATTCTCAGTCATCCTGGTCATAGTTATCCCAAATGTCCTTTTCCACCAGGCAACTGAACTTTGTTTTTCTTTGAAGACATTTCGCTTCTCACCCAAAAAGCTTCTTCAGCTCAGAGCTGAAGAAGCTTTTTAGATGAGAAGTGAAACGTCTTCAAAGAAAAACAAGAAAGTTGAAAAAGCACCTTTGGGATGACTTGCAATGTAGCATAACTACTGCAAGGCCACTCAAGTTTTTTGAATAAACTACAACTGAACCAAACAGTATGGCCAGAAGCCTGAAATTCTTTAACTTGACCTATTAATATATTGAGCAGACACTGGATTGGGAAAAACTGGATTTAATCAAAGCCCATCGGAAAAGACTTAAACCATAAAAGCTTTGTAAAAAAAAAAACGAAACAAAAAAAACCTGATTACTTTAATCATTTACTTTATTACTAAAAAGCCAATTCCCCAAAATTAAGACGGATGAACTAGGTTTATGAATGGCATCTGATTTAGGCGCGCAGGACCACGCCAAACACGCTAGAAGGGGTTCTCCACATTTGTGGACCGAAGTCAACGCCCCAAAATTATCGCCACGCCAGCTATCCGGACTTTCAGCCAGAGCACTGTACGCTGCCCTGCCTGCAAACGTGTAAGCCAAACTGGCTGGGAATGATGGTGGCTGTAGTCCACCCTCCCTCTGGCGGCCTAAGAGAGAAAAGGTTGGCAGGCTCTTCTGCCTGCATCCCCTTTCCAAAGTTTGCGCGCGCCCTACCCGACCCAGCTTGGTTGACTCACAATTCCACCATCCACTGGCCCTGCAGCAGGAGGCTCCAGTTGGACCCGCTCAGCTCCACCACGCGGCTCCCCATCGCTTCCGGCTCCGGCTGCAGGGAAGCCGCAACCGTAAGGATGGACGCCAGGCCGGCAGCTCCCCATAGCATCACTAACAGCGGAGTTATCCCCTCCTTTCTCCAGCGGTTGCAGCAGCGCCTTGGAAAGACGGCCGCCGCCATCTTGAGCAACTAGGAAATTAAACCGCCGCCACCAAGCCGAATTAAGAAACCGAGAGTGGCGGGGCGGCCCGACGGCCACCTTTGCTTCCGGTTCAATGCGAACGGCTTCCACCATGTGCGGGGTAGAAGAAGCGGTGGGAATGAGCATTAGGAACGTATTGCAAGGCAATCCAAACAGTCTCAGCGCAATGCGCGGGTTTTGGAAGGCAGTGTGATCGCCTTTGGTTCTGGCTGTACGTTAGTACTATGCATACTTTAAAATATAAAACATCTTTCTCAGGACCAATAGTTGTATTTAAAAATTATTGAAATAATGCTTTTTTTAAAAGAAGTAATGTAAGGCAAGACAGTCATGACTGATAACATGATATAAACGCTAGATTAAAATCTGATTGATTTGCTTCTGGGCAAACCCCATGGATTAATTTATGCAACTAAACTGGTTAAATAGCTGGATGAATGTCGGGAGTGAAATAGGAAAAGGTGACTGGGAAGATCTGCTTGGATTCCTGGAAGTGAATCCTGCGGTTCCATAGGGTCGAGACTGACAAAGAGACTGACAAAAAGGCACAAATTTTTTGATGAGTTATAATGAGAGACCTTGGTTGGATATTTTGCGAAGTCATGGGTTGCTTAATCAAGGCTTGGCGTTTGGATTCACACTCTGAACTGAGTCATATATTAAACCACAGCAGCTGGTCTCATGCCTTCAGCCAGCCAAATTCAAAGAAAGGTTGGGACGTTTTTTAGGGAACCTCCCGCAAACAAAGCATAATTTCAGTTTATGGAAATGTTGTGGAAACCAAACATTAGAGACAACTAATGCGAAGAAGCCAGAATGCAGTGAGAATCGAAGAGCAATTGTTTATGATTATTACATACCACCAAAAGAATCCTCATTTTTGTCCTCTGTCTAGCAAACATAATCTTACAGTCAAATATTGTCCAGGTTTTGGATTGTTTTCACAACAATAGTTGGGTTGGAGGTTAAGCAAGTTTGCATTTGACATCCAAGTGCTGCCTTAAGGCGGGTGAACTCCCATCCTTCGCTCCAGCCAGGGACATGAAAGGAGCCCCCAACTGGGCATCCCTTGGGCAATTGTGATGTCACCGGCTAATCCTTTCAACATGGAAGTGCCTCAGTGCTTCTGACACGTGTGATGTGGCAATGGCTGGATTTAAATACCATATTAAAGTAAAAAGAAGCAATCAGTTGTGCATAATCCATGAATAGGTCCTAAGTTCCTTTGGTATTGAGATTCAATTTCAGTTAGAGAATGCTCTTAGGCCCCTTACAACAGTCCATCAGATAGAAATTCAGTTGACAGGAAGCATATTGGATTTCTGTTTGTCACAGATCTTTGAAAGCACAGCCACATTGTTTTTCTTTTGTTTTTCTTCTGTATTTTTCAACCAGATTGGCCTAAACCAGTGGTGGCGAACCTATGGCACGGGTGCCAGAAGTGGCACTCAGAGCCCTCTCTGTGGGCACGTGCGCCATCGCCCCAGTCCTAGGCCTTCAGCAGGGTTTTATAAAACCTTTTCGCTTTAGACCTCCGCCACCGTGTGCAAAAAAATAAAAAGGTTCAATTAGTCAATTTCAACTTCTCGCTGGAAAAAAGAAGATCTTGCAAAGTTGGAATTGATTGATTGAACTTTTTAGTCCCGCCCAGTCTGCTGTTACCACTGCGGCCACGCCCACCCAATGGGCCACGCCCACCCGGCACTCGATGATGCATAAGTGGGTTTTGGGTTGCAAGTTGGGCACTCAGTCTCTAAAAGGTTCGCCATCACTGGCTTAAACTGAAGTAATGGTAAAACCAACCTCAGTTTGTGATGTTTTCATGGATGCATCCACACCTTTTCCTTGATTTTCCACCCTCTGCTTTCAAGATTTATGTTTGATTTTTCTGATCTTATCAGTTTTCCTTGGGATTTGTGCATGCAAGTACTAACAATAACTGGCCTTTCTTAGCTTGGGTTCACCTAACCTACCCCATTTGGGCCTAGCATGTTGGACAAAAAAAAAATCTCCAGAGCCCAGCCAGGATAAAAGGCCATCTTGCCCAGAGGCTTTTCAAAGACCTGGAAAGAAAAGGGAGCCTTTGAGTACATATGCATTGAATTTTGTGTTGACAATAACTGCTGGACTGGGTGTTACATCAATTGCAAATGTGTTCCAGACTTCATTTAGGGTTCTGTTGAAACTAGTACCAGTGTAGCGGGTGAACTTTTGCTGCTTTGAAGCCAGACATAAAATGCAGTTAGAGCGTCCAAGAAGCAATTATGGAATATTTTCTAACCAAAGAAAAATGTTTTTTTGTACCCTGGAGACATTCCCCATAGAGTCACAGTTCTGTTGAATAATTTCAGCATTTACTTACTGTTCAGCTTCCATGTTAGCCCAATACTACATCTGGAAAGGACAGAAAAATGAAGATTGCAACTCAGTTGGCTGCAAAGAATAGCAGTGTTGTCTAAAGTGACTCTGGAGATTAAGGAGCCATTTATAACAATAAGGTTTAAATTCAAATTTGGGTAATACTTGAATAAGAGACCATCCGGGAAAAAAAAAACAGAGCTGTAGGCTAGATTCAGAATCTGGAAGACATCCAGGAGAATGTAGTAATGAAACATGGCTGTATTTTTGTCAAGAAAAGCATGCAAAAATAGACTCATAATTAACAGGAGTCCAGTGTATGCCTTGTGGAAGTCAAAGTTCAGGTCAGACTTAAAACTCCTTTGGACCCTCATCACAAATTCCTTCTTCCAGAGAAAAAGGTAAATGTTTTAAAGAAGAGCGATGGCAGACAGAAGCCAGCCAGGCTTCTTTTTCTTTTAGAGGAAAAGGACCCAGTGACATCTCCATCCTCCCGATCTGTGGAAGATTAGTGGATACCCTTCACTTGGAATCAGGTGATCGGCCAGCTTCTTTCAGCAGATCAACTGAAGAGGCCCAGGGCAGGCAGTCTGGAACAAGTTGCCCTATTTTCCACCAGCCAGAGAGCTTTTTTCAGTGCCCTCCTTGAAACCAGAAGGCCTCTCCTGCCAGAGACAGATAATAGTCCCACACTGCTTTTTAAAAGATGTTCCGTTCATTTTGAATGTAACTAATAATCTCTAAAAGGGTTAATCACACCAGAGCTGAAAAGGAATAGCTCTGTCTTTATTCTGTGATGATTGTAAGAGGTAGGAGCCAGAACTGGTTGAACTGGCCGGATTCACATTTCAGTAGCATGTGCATTACTTTGGCCCCTCCATATCCTCCCATTAACTGTTGGGTACAGTCAAAGCAGACCTTAGCACAAAAGAACCCACACATTTTGCAGCAGATTTTTCAGGCCCCTCCGTCAACAGAAAAATCTAGAGATTTCCATTAGATTTGAAAGTACTTCCAATTCGCCTGCAGGTGAATGCTTCTAGGCAAGTGAGCCTATGGGAACTGGTTGGCTAAATTCATGATTAAATTCATTTCCTCTCCTCATGTAGTTAAACAGCAGGGGAGGAAATTGCTAGAGACCGATGCTCTTTTGAATTTCTCCAAAAGTAGTAGCTGGTTGTGGAGAAGGAAAGAAAGGAATTATAACCTCATCCCCAAGTTGTCGGACATGATCTTTAAGAATGCAGGAAGGGACTTAACTCACTGGGATCTCTAGGTACAGTATAGTGCAGGGGTAGGCAACCTTGGCTCTTTTATGACTCGTGGACTAGCTCCCAGAATTCCTGAGCCAGCCATTCTGGCTCAGGAATTCTGGAAGTTGAAGTCCACGAGTCATAAAAGAGCCAAGGTTGCCTACCCCTGGTATAGTGAATAACAGACAGTGGGAGATTAAGATTTGGCTTTAGACCTAGTCCTCAGTTAACAATTGTAATTGGGGCCGGCCAATCTGTCGCTAAATGATGCAGTCATAAAGGGTGACATCACACGACCATGCTGACTTACCATGGGCATTCCAGTTGTTAAGCATGTCATGTGACTTCCAGATGGCTTCCTCTTTGACTTTGACAGATGTAGGATGTGAAGGTTGCAAATGACAATGAATGCAGTATGCTGTGATGTCCACAACTATAAAGGCCAGTTATAAGTCTTCTTGTTCATCATCTTCGTAACTTTGAATGGTCACTGAACAAAGCATCACTAAGCAAGGATTATGTGTATTGTATATAGTATGTGCTCAAGGCAAACACCTGGCTTCTTTCAAAGTTCATTTTTCTTTGAGGCCTAATTGCCATCTTAGATGGGCCTATCCATTGTTCCCCATTCCTCTTTTGAAGTCTGATCATTTCTATCTGCCTGATATCCATTGTGGTATTTTCTTTACTGTTTTGTGTGTTCCAAATAAACTCTACTGTTGTAAATAGTACCATTGCCACATTGTGTTGAGGGTGGATTTATAATCTGATCACATGCTTCAGTAGGCCTAGACTTCCCCAGGGTGACCTACTGTATTGGGCTAAAGCTGCCTTTGCATTTCTCAGCTAGCTAAAACTGGAGAAACTATTGCCTTTCTTTTGCCCTTGGTCCCATAAGGGGCAGAAAAGAAGACACTAGCAGGAAATGCTGGCTGAAAGAAATTACTGCTGCATCATCCTGAGCTGATCCAGTTGAGTGGGGCAGGTCTGATGGTAAACACAGCCTTCATCAACATCAGCATTTTAGCCATTGTCTATCCACCGCAGGATGAAGGCCTCTTCTGCATGTTTCCAACCAATATGGTCCTGAGCTTTCTTTTGCCAATTGGGCCCACAATACTTGCTGATGTCATCGATCTGTCTTGTTTTAGGTCTGTTTCATGGACGCTTTTTATCAAGTGTGATCCATTCTATGACTGCTTTGGTCCACTTGCCATCAATTCTTCTTGCTATGGGACCAGCTTATTTCCATTTCAATTCTTTTTACTCTCTTGATGATATTGTATACTTTCGTTTGTTCTCTAATCCATGTGCAGGTCTTTTTATCTTGTCTTTTTTTTTTTAATTGAAATTTTTTATAAATTTTAACCAAAAAAAAAACAAAAAAGTAACAATACAACAACAACATA